CCCTTTCTCCCCCCCTCTCTCTCTCTCTCTCCCTCCCTCTCTCCCCCTCTCTCTCCCTCTCTGAAATGCTAAGACTTGTTTTCCTCCATTTCAGGTCGAAAAGCTCATAGAGTACACGCAAGAGCCCAAGCGGATATTCAGCGAAAAAGCAATCTCAGATAGCAATAACATTTCCAACGGCGGAATCAACCAGAAAACCATCCCTCCGCAGCCCGAAACAACCAGCATCACGGACGTGACGCCGGATTCCCCCGACGTGACGATCAGCGCCCCCGAAGCGAAAGACACCCCAGCCGTGACGATCTCAGAAGTCAAAGACAGCGTATCGGACGTGACGATCTCAGAAGCTAAAGACAGCGTAACGGACGTCACGATCTCAGAGGCGAAGGAAGTGACGATCACCCCGGAGGTAAAAGACGCGCCGGTATGTTCGAGGGTGCCAGAACTGACCGTGACGAGCGACTCGAGCGACAACGTGGCCGTGGACGAATCTGACGTCACGGACACGGAACCGCGAAGCGAGAGCGAGGCGGCGAACCTGCTGGAGCACGAGGTGAGCGAGGAAACTTCTTCGCCGTTGGTCGTCCAGCAGCTGGAGCTGGAGGAGAAGTCGAGCTCGCCGTCGACGGCCGACTCGGACGTCACGATGCAGAAGGAGTCGAAGACGGAGAAGGACGTGAGCGATACGTCCATCTCGATCGACGAGAAGACGGAGACCCACACGAACGAGTACAACCTGATCGAGAACGAGGACTCCTCCGAGTCGGTGACGCACTCTCTCGGCACGAAGCTGAACTTCAGCGAGGTGCTCAACCCGGAGAAAGAGGTGACCGAGGCGGTGAACCAGAGGCTGTCCTCGCTCGTGCGGGGGATCTCCGAGGACGAGATGCCGACCACCGTTCTTGAGCTGACCAAAGACTACGTCAACGGGGTTGACGTCTGGCGGGAAGACAATAATTTAACCAAGGATCTAGGTAAGAGTCTATGCAATTTTTCGGGTGCCGTTGAAATCTTGGAGTGAAATCCGGAGTGAACTTCATTCCGAAGACTGTTTCACCCCCAGAAAACACGAGGGATGTGAGTTTGGGGCGGATTACAGTCCTCGTATATGAAACCTTATCTGTAACAATGGCGGATGTAAAAAATTACCTTTCCGAAACACGCATAAAAAACTGCTTGGGTCACACAAAAATCTAATATGTTTGGCTCTGACATATTGTACAGATCTCGAAGATCACATCTCAAGTATTTTCTCAAAATTTTCTCTATGCCAAAACAGTTTTTTGAGCTTGTTTCGAAAAGGTAATTTTTCTTATCCGCCATTGTTACATATAAGTCCTCATATGTTTATCATCAAATTTTTCTGCGAAGGTGAAATAGGCTCCGGCGTGAAATTATCTGCAGATTTCACTCCAAGTTCTCTCAGTATGTTGCATTTTTCAAAGAAAATTTGCAACAACGTTCAAATTGATTGAAATTCGACTGACCATGGGAGAGGGAACTAACCACGAGAGCGAAATTTTCGATACCGATTTTTGTTCCCTTTTTCCGTGCGAATTACAAATTTAAAAAAACCATTTCTCAAAAATACCTAGGCAGGGGTTTTTGCAGTATATAAGCCACACTTTCGGCGTTTTTTTAATTTTAGCCAAATCAATACTTTTACATTTTTAAACCATTTAATTTGGTTGGGTTATATTCTCCTGACTGAAAAATTTTCTCAGTGCATGAAGTTTTCTCAGTTCATTTTACCCCTCTGTTTTATTCCTCTTACGTTTTATCTGTAATTTTTAATGATTTTATGTATTTCTATAATTTCATTTTCCTCCAGGCAACGAATATATTGAGCGCGTCAAGTTAAAAGCGGAAGACCTCGTAAACGAAATCTGCGCCAAGGCCGAGACGGTCAACCAGAACGGACTCGCCAAGGACATTGTAACTAGTGTAAATTTCGCCAAAGCCAATAGTGTAGACTCCTATCGCCCACCGCTGGCCGAGACCAAACTCAAGACGTCGATGACGTCATCCTTTGAGGACGCACTTCTCAACGTCAACTTCGGCGAGGGAGCGGAAGCCCCCACTTTCTGCCCTCGTCTTAGTACGATAGGCTCTGAACTAGAACTTAAAGTAAGACAATTATAAATAAATCGTGCTCAAGATTTTTTTCTTGTTGAAAATTTTTGGATGAGATGATTTGGTTTGCTCGATTTTCTTTCTTCCTCTTGTTAATTTTCCCAAGAAAATCGATTAAAAAGACCAAACTATGAAATTTAACAAGAAGAAAACACTAAACAATGTGGTCCAAAGTGTATGTAACAAGGTGGTAAAATAGTGATCGATCCACACTATACTTTTCAGGGAAAGCAAGGCCAGAGAGTCCAAGAATTTCGATTAGAGTAAAAAATCATGGGCTCTAATACGAAATTACCAATTTTTCACTCAAACTAAAATTTGTGAATTTTATGGCCTTGCGCTCTCCACAAAATAATGTGGATCAGCACTCTTTTACCACCTCGTCATGAAATTTAACTCTACGCGCGAGGAGAAAATTTGAACTATATCCATACATTCCAAAATAACAATTGAAATAATAATTCTTATGAGAGTGATACATTCAGACGTCTCCACTTTAAGGTCATCGCGTGGTAATTTTTCAAAATATCTGAGTGACATCTCTTTCATCTCAGTTGCACCCNGCGTTTCAGAAGACCTAGATGAAAAACGCGAAAAATTGATCAAATTGCTGTAAACTTGACTATGTTTTCATTTTTCATTAATTTTTATCCAATCATATGCTGCGAAAAATACCGACGAGAGAAGCTCCCGTTGCCACGTGAAACGGGAGAGAGACAATTTCTTTACTTACGTATCACGTCAGGGGTCACGTCAGGACACCCCCCCCCCCCCAAGGTTTTGGTGAAATGACGCCACTGTGAGAACACAAAGCATATTATATTTTCACGACGCTTAAAATTTTGCAGCGTAGACCATGATCCTCAACATTTTACGTACAACGAGCCAACTCCTCGTTTTCCAAAAAAGAAAGGGCTTCATTCCGCTAAACTCGATCCACTCCACGTGACATATGAACTACATTTTGCAATAAGGAACCACTATTTCTGACTCATTTTAGGAACGAAACCTGTGCCGTTGGTTTCCTTATGCAGAAAGGTGATTTTATGTAAGGGCCAGAGCTAGTGGTTCCTTATTGTAAAATGCAATCCGTATAATGTGACCAGAGACAAGAGACCCTCCACTGGCCTCCTAGCGACAGGTGGAAGCTTTTACTTTCGGGGTTTCAACAATTCCTTATGGAAAATTATTAGGGAGCAACAGTCATCACCCTAGTTTCGGCTGTTGACTTACCTCATGGTCGATGATGAGCTTTGGATGACGTCATGAGCCAAACAACTTTTTCAAACGTCGGCCATTTTTGGCTTGTTTGCAAAACGAAACTGCCAGCACGTTGTTGAACATCAACCATGTAGGTAAGTCAACAGTAGAATGCTGAAGTCCCGAAAGTAAAAGCTTCCACCATGGCCAAGATACTAGTGGAGGGTCTCGTGTCTCTGAATGTGACGTACCTACTTTGACTTTCAGGTGGCAGAGGAGCTCTCGCCGGTGGACAAGAGCGGCTCGAGTTTCTCGGACGGGGACCTGAGTCCGGACCCGAAGGGGCTCTCGGACAGTGTGATAGAGACGATCAAGGGTGAGATCGCGGAGATCTGCGAGGAGGCGGCCGACCGGGCAGCCCAGCTCCTCGCCGAGAAGGCCGCCGAGGAGGCCGAGTCCGACTCGAACGAGATCTCTGAGAACGGGACCTCGACCAACAACCCGAGCATATCCTTCTCCGACGACACCCAGATCATCGAGTCCAGCATCCACGCCCCGGTCGACGAGAAGCTCGCCTCCGCCGCAACCACCATCCAGGCCTCGTTTCGGGGTTACCAAGTCCGAAAGGCGCACAAAAAACAGGTGAGTTCCACGTTCTGTCATTTTACAGCCCTGGATAGACGATCAAATTTCCGAACCAATTCCGATCAAAGTAGCATCAAAGTGTCGGGAGTCATCAGTCTTAAACTCTTTAATTTGCTTCATTTTAAAATGAAAACTTGGCAGAAATGTTTCCTGAGGCAGGACATTATGAATAGTGGCACTCCATTCTGATCTTACTTAGAACAAAATAGTGCGGCCCGTCGAAATTTGATGGTGGATGGTGACCGCATCAGTCATCAGCATGTCTACTATGATCGGAATTGGTTCGGAATTTGATCGTCTATCCAGGGCTTACCCACTGAGAATTTGCAAGTGTCTGCAATTTGATGAATTTTTTATTCAACTGAAAATTACGGAGTGAGTTGAACACGAGGATAGTCTGGCTCATATATTGAACAATTGAGGGGCCCGGCTCGGAGAACGAGGCAGATAAGTGCAGTTTTTGCTCTTTCGAGAAACACGTCTTCGAAGTTTCGGAATTTCATGGATCCTTCTGGCGGAAAAATAAGTTTAAACTGACTTTTTAATGCTTAAAAATTGAAATTTTGGAGCAAATTATATACAGAATACCCATTAAGACTTGTTTTACTCGGAATCGTTAATATCGCGATTTTTCCAAAAATTGCACTTATGCGCCTTGTCCTCCAAGCCCCTCAATTATTGAACCGTCTTCTTCAATATTTGTTCAATATCCGAACTAAATTATCTAATAAAAACAAATAAATCTGCTAAAAAACATGTATTAAAAATGTATACATTGAAATACCGCCAGATGAAGTCTCTAGGCGGTGCATTTTCTCAATCCTAAATCTATTTTATACTAGTCCCTATAATAATACCGTGATTTCGTGAAATCAGTTCAAATGACAAGTAATGAAAGTGCTCAAATGAAACGAAGTAGGTAAAAGCGTGCAAATTCGCATGTTGCTGTGCAAAGAGGAAACTGCGTATGAACTTTCGGATGTTGCCAAATTTAACCTAATGAACCATTGAGTTTTGAGGAAACGTCGCTCCTCTAACGTAAGGGCGTATCCCAATCTCCACGAGATCTCTGTTCTCCATATAATTCTATGCTTTCCGCGGCCAATATGGAAACACAGAGACGCCTTTATGTAAGAGGAGCGGCGAAGTCATGATTATTTTTTATAGAAAATTCTTGTTTCATCAACGGAAATTTAGCAATGTCCGAGCGAAGGTTCATACGGTGTTCTTCTTTAGCACGGCATGGCAGGTAGAACCATAAGCAGCACCATGCATGCACACAGCGCGGCTCGGCTTTGAATACCTCGTTACTCATTTGTATGGGAAAATAGGTGAGAAAACGGTAGATTTCTGTGATGAAAGTCCCAGGAGGACCTTATCGTTTAGTTGCAAATGAAGCATGAAGTTTCACAATTTGAAAAGCATTAACGCCTCAACATCGGCTCTCCAAAGAGTATTTGAAAGGAAATCTCCTCTCAGATGTAGGAGTAATTTTTGAATGTTGATTTCTCAAAAGATTTAGATTTGAATCCTCTCTTGTGATCTAAAGTTTATTGATCACCCATGGTTGACAATAGTACTCCAAAGTACTTAAAATTTTTCCAGAGGAACATGCATCCGTTCTATATCGTCGGCTTTTGGTCCGTTTGCATTGAGGATTTGTTGTTTAAATTTGATGAATGTGAACACTTGAGGACTTGAGCAATCTAATTCCTTTGACATTCAACTCATAATATGTAGATTTGATACTTAAAACTGAGCATGCATCATTCAAATTCCTAAATTTTTGTTTTTCTCCTCATATCGTTAGCGTAAAAGTAGCAGATCATTTACTGAAGAAAACCTCCAATGTTCCGTCAGAAAATAGAAATCGTCTTGTTTGTCCAACTCTCAAAGATGTAGTATGGGCACTACTTGCACTTTCTTTTCTCCCCAAAAAGAATATATGAATAAATAGATCACACATTTTTGCGGTGTGGTGACGAGATCCACAGTTGAATCGGTTTCTGTTAGGCGGGGGTAAGTCCAAAAACTCGTGAGCCCTAGCTTTCCTTGATTACGCAGGACACTAGGGCTCTTAAGTTTTTGGACTTACGCCTGTCTGACAAAAACCGATTCAGTCGATACTCAGGAAAGAATAACACACCCTTCCCTCTCCTCCGGCCGACACGGCACTTAGGCAAAGAGCCTCAGAACTCGCAGTAGACATTTACATGACAGGTGAAAAGTGTCGCTCGAAATCACCACCCGAAATCTCGCCTCTCCCTCTGTGGAAAACTTTATCGAATCCACGACAAACCTCATGTCAGGAGCAAGTGATTTTCTATGTCAGATGCAGTGAATCGCAACGAAAAGAGAGCGAGAGGAAAAACATACTGACTTCGGCACAATATGTATTTGTAAAGATTCATCAAAATTAACTACATCATTTTCGTCGCATGGTATGTTTGCAGTACACTGAAAAAAATCTCGGTGTATTTACTAAGAAAATGGTAAAATTACCAAGAATTCAGGGTTCTATTTGATCCCAGTTTTTTCTTGGTAAAATTACCATTTATGGGATTGGTAATTTTACCGAGAAATCTTGGTAAAATTATTGAACTTTCTCAGTACTTTTACTGGACCTTGGTAAAAACGCCAATATTTTTTATCCACTGCGGTACAATCACCGAGATAAAATGGCAAAGTTACCGGTAATTTATTACCAATAAAAGTGGTATTCTTACCTTAAAAAACAGTAAAAATACCGGTTTTTAGGTAAGCTTACCAGTCTGTCTTGGTAATATTACCAATAATTGGTAAAAAAAAGTTAGATGGTAGAGGTACCAACGGACCTTAGTAAGAACGCCGAGAATTTTTTTTCAGTGTACCGACTTATTGAGGAGCTCTCCATTAAACTCTAATAAAACTGTCGTTCTGCCAGCTGCGTGTTCATGCAGGCTATGATTTGAATGAATCACGCCAGTGGATCCTGTTAACGATCAACTATTTTTTACTTTCCTTTCTTTTTTTAATTGGAATCGATAAAATTGAAAAGAAAACGTGGCAACCTCGGGTAGAGAACGAGGAAGTTAAATTATTAGACGCTATTAATTTCCTTCTAAACAAAGTCTGTAAAACTCGTGGGTTCACGCACTTCCGGTAGGCGTCAAGGGTAGGTGTAGGTCCTGCGGTGTTTGATCAATATTGCCATATTCTACGAAATTGCCTGCCTGGAAATTAACCCTAAACTCTTCTTGCTTGAAAAAGACGAAAGGACAACGAGGAGGAAGGTATTAATTGATAAATGCAGAAGCTTTATTCGTATTTTAGTCCTTTAATCTGTGTTATATTATTCATTTGTGACCGCCCGCAGAAAAGCGCCTGTATTTTATACCTACTCGGAAGCCTTTTTTCGAAAGAGGGATTTTTGTCAAGTTGAATAAAAAATTCGGTATTTGACAGGGTTGCAACAGTCAGGAAATACCGGGAATTTTGAAAAGTCAGGAAAAATCTGGAAATGTCAGGGGAAATGACGATAATGTCTGGAAAAAATTATTAAGTCACCTTTATTTGCTTTCTCGAAAGGGTTTGACATTTCGAACAACAAATTTTGCCTGAATAGTATTTCTAACAATGTCATTTTAAAATCTGGAATTTGCTCAATTGTCAGGGAATTTCACCAAAATGTGTCAGAGAAATGTCAGGGAATTTAACCGTCTAAATTCTGTAGCAACCCTGATTTGAGTTCCTCACGGAATGGTCTCTCAATAGCATCATAATCAGAATAAATGGATCAGGTTGCGGTTTGGGTTCCAGGGGGATAAGTTCATTCTTATGTCAATATAGAGCGTGAAATCGCGTTTTATTCCAACAATTTTAAGCTCCAAATATTATATCGAATAAAAAATTCAAATTGTAATTCAGAAAATTAATTGGTTTTAAAAGAAACATTTTAATTATTTTTCGGTTTCGTTTTTCATGGCAATTTTTTGGTGTTTTTCATGACAAAGAGCTTGTAAAACTCATTAAAATGCAATGGTGCCCACGAATTTATTTTTAATCTTTCCTGATCGGTCTATTTTGCCTATGGACAGTTACGGTTCGATTTAAAAAATTTAAGAAAGAGGTCCAAAAGAAGAAAAAAACTACTTGAAAATTATCTTGAGGAAGCATATTCAGTTGAGAAGCCAATGCAAAAATCAATTGCAAAAATCAATTCTATTGAAATTGAATTTTCGGTTTCGTGCACGTCGTTAGCGTTGGCGATCATTATCAATACCTATACTACTGATCGGTGATCATAAGCCAATTTTAACGTAACCCCTTCAAAATTGTGGATATGCAGTGCTCCGCGCCTGCATGCAATGTAGTTGTGACGAGAACGGAAGGAGATATCTCGAATGATCAGACCTCCAGAAGTCCGCCGAAAAAGGCCGTCGCGCCCGATTGCCTTTATTCGCCAGCCTAAGCCGGGCTCCCTTTCCTCGGAATCTCTTTCTTTGATTCTCCCTCTTTTGATCTCATAATTTTTTGTTCCTCCGTTACTTTTTAACAAAAAAATATCATCTTCTCTAAGAGCATAATCCGGGAGACTGTATCTCCAGCGCTCTCATTGTCCCCCGGGACAAGGAACTTGACAATGTTCCTTCCGGAAATCGGATAATCTGCTCTTCGAGCAACATGGTTCGGCAGAAATTAGAATGAAGCGGGCCGATCGCTACAAGTTGGCGGGGGAGGGTTTCTGCCGAGACATTGAATAAGAATCCTCATCATAATCCGCCGTCCCCCGGTTTTTCGAGTGTTCCCGCTGCTCGACGCACATCGGATCGAATCAATGAGAGAAGTCGGACAAAATTTGGAAACTTTAAACGCTCATAACTCTGTATGTACAAAACTTTGAGGTCCTGAAGGTGGTTCCATTGGTTTTCTGGTGAATTTTTCTTCTTAAAGCACCCCTTGAAATGTAAAACGTGACGAAATAAACACCAAAATTTGCAGTTCTAGTCAAAAATCTCATGTCTGACCTCTCTAATTGACTCGATCCACTGTGCGACGGGCGAACCGTTCGGAGAAGCCGTGATCCCACTCAAAGCTCCGTGTTCTACGATAATTGGCTTCGGGAATGCTGTTTATTCGCCGAGCTATGTTCCAAGCGCGGGCGGCGACGAGAAAATGGATCAACCGCTGAAGGAATCGGAAAAGCGACGCCCGCGAATTTTCAACCCTTGAGATTTTTAAATAGAACGAGGCGCGGGGGTTTCCGTGTCGCATTTGTTGATTTCCGAGATTTTTCCGGGATATCTTTGGATTTTTTCGAGGAATGACTTTCTCCCGTTTCCAGGGTTGCTAGAGTCAGGGAAACCGGGAAATGTCAGGGAATTTTAAAAAGTCAAAATCAGCGAACATCGTAATACAATGTCTGAAAGGTAGTAGCACTGAATATATTGGTATTGGAGGGTAGCCGAGTGCTAGAAATAATGTACAATTTTCTTTAAAAAACTTACATTTTATTGTGAAGTTTGCTTCGAAAGTCTGACGATGAAGCGTTTGCTTCGAAAAACTTCGGTCTAAGTTGGTTAATAAAATGTAAGGTTTTTAAAGAAAATTTTACATTATTTCTAGCACTCGGCTACACTCCAAATACCTTTAAAAAGTCGTAGCAAACCTGGAACTGCCAGGGAAAATGGCGAAAATGTCAGGGAAAAATTGTTCAGTTACCTTTATTTGCTTTCTTGAATGGGTTTGACATTTTGACCTACAAATTTTGCCCAAAAACTATTTCTAATTATGCCTTTTTAACCAGCCGGCATACCCTCAATAATTGTCAGGGAATTTAACCAAAGTGTGTTAGGGAAATCAGAGAAATATCAGGGAATTTAAATCCCGAGGTTCGGTGGCAACACAGCGTTTCCTCCCTCTTCTCTGGAGACCTAGCCGAGAGGACGGGATTTGAGGGGTCTAGCCCCCTTGTTTTCTCAACCTAAAAATGTCGATGATACCCTACTCCAGTATCCCACAGAACAGGATGCAAGAAGTTTTGTCCATTTTCTGCAAATAGAAAAAGTAAAATTCATTTTAATCCGACTTATTTTCACCTCAAACATAACAACTTGAAACGGTACAATAGGACGAATTTTTTTTCACAAATTGCGTTTTACAAAAATGTACAATGTTTCAAATCTTTGTTATTTTTCATGCCACCTTGTTGATGCAACACAGGTCTTGCGGAGAAATTTTTTAATAAAATCTTCCAATTTTTCAGAGAAGTTTGTCCGCTATTTTATCTAAATCATCTTAAACTTTGAAAGAGAAATATTCATAACTTTTCTTAAAAATAGTACTTTATAGAGAAATTTTTGGCATCATTTGATTGTTCTTACGACGTGTTTCCTAAGCATGGCGGTGCGTGTCTGTTCATGTATTGATAAAATTCCTCCAGTGTAAGTACTATAGGTCATCGGGGTGCGTAGAGACATTCAGAATACAGCCAATCGGGGATGCATTTTAATTAACTTCAGTGTGAGGTTGGGTTGCATCATCAAATTTGAAGGCGAACTAGGAGGATCTCGTTTCAAAGCGATGATGCAGCTGCGTCACGCGTGGCTCCAGCTGACACACTGTATACATCACAGCCATCCTAATTTCGCGATCAGGAGGATTTGTAGTTTAGGTTTCGAAAACTATGCTACTTTGGTGAGGTAAAAACCGTATCAAGGATGCAAGAGTCAGGGATAACCTGAAAAAGTCAAAGAATTTTGCTCCGAGCCAGAGAAATTCTAAAGGCTCCGGCCGAACTTCCATTGCGCGCCGGTCTGTTCGTCAGTTTGGCCGAGTTTTAGGGAATTATTTGCCGCAAAACGAGTGCTGTAAGTACTGAAACCGCGATTTATGCGCTTCCAACTTGGAAGGACCTGATTATTAAAACCTTTGGCTCTATTGGTTTGTTTCTGTCTTTTCTTCTATTTTTTATTCAGGCACAGAATAATTTGCAACATATTCAGGCCTCGTGTAAAATTTCGTATTCGGATTATTTGCTTGAATTTTTCGCATTTGCTGCGGATGAACTTTCAACTTCTCACATACAATTTCGGTGCTTCAAAGTTTGCATCGCCATTTTTTAAATCAACCTTTTTCTTCTTTTTTGTAAGAAGTCAGGGAAAAGTCAGGAATTTTCAAAGCCAGTGGTCAGAGCATTTTTCCAAAAGGCCAGGGAAAGTTAGGAAATCTCAAAATTTGATTAAACTTGCATAACCCTGCAGTCCCGATCCTTCTACGTGCGAGAACAAAATGGCGTAACGCTTTCCTGGACCCCACTGGAGCGTCACACATTTGATGAACATTGTGAGGCAACAGAAATTAGATTGTTCACGAATGGAGATGTTGCATGTGTGAGGAGTTTTCGATTTGGCTATTAGTTCTAAGTTGAAATTTCGCGAGAAACACGATGGTGCCACTGGTTTTCTCTGAAATCATCTTCCAAGCTCAAAAGAAGCTCTCAAGTTGAGGCCAAAATGGAGGGGATATCTCACGCTGCCCTGAGAGTCCACTTCTACATCAAGACGAACTCTCCATGCGAAGATAGGGAGCAAATACATTGACAGGGCTGTCACCTTGTTTGGGGACTCTAAAACTGAGAACAGGGCAACCCTGCTAATGTATTTGCTCCCTATCTTTGCATGGAGAGTTTGTCTTGATGTAGAAGTGGACTCTCAGAGCTCTGAGAGCAGTGGCTCTTGAGAGCTTTTTTTGAGCTTAGGAGTTGATTTCAGAGAAAACCAGTGGTACCAACGTGTTTCTCGCTAATTTTTACTCAAAAATCAACAGTCAAATCGCAAATTCCTCACGCATGCAACATCTCCATTGAAGGAATCATGTCCTTAACTGATATGGATTGGAATATTTTCAGGAGAACCCTCGGACGGAGTCAACAGTGGTCGACGAAGACGAACTGCCGCCTCCGGACATGGAGCTCCTGGGCTCGGAAGGCGACACGATCTCCGAGGAGGACCTGCCTCAACCGCCGGAGTTCGACGACCTCCCGCTCCCGGAGGACCTGGCCGAGCTGGACGAGTACGTGGTGACGCCGGAGATCCGGGACCAGATGGTGCGGCGCAACACCATCATCGCGGAGACGCGGCTCTCGGGGCTCTCGGCCGCCTCCATGAACGAGTCCTCCTCGGAGATCGACTCCTCGCTGTCGAGCGCGGCGACCAAGATCCAGGCCGGGATCCGGGGCTACCTCACGCGGAAGCACCTCAAGAACACCTCCTCGACGACGGCCCCCTCCATGGACGACTCGGATCTCTCGACCGGCGAGCCGAACCAGATCAAGAAGGCCCTCTCCGTCGAGGAGACCGAGATCCAGCGGCATCCCTTCTCCCCAGATGAAAAGGTATGCATCTCCTCAGTATCAGTGTATATACGAAAATAAGTATGAAAGGAAGTTAGACATCTTGAAATACAGTTAAGCTAATTCTGGTTTAATCAGTGTATATACATCACTCGGCTGATTATTGAAATTGATAGACCGAGTCACGGACAATTTGACAAAGTAAGTGGAGCGATCTTGTTACTGAAAGCGGGTGATCACAATGGACAAAGGAGGTATAGGTGTCGTCAGCCAAGTTGACACTTGTTTAAATTCCGCTTACTAGCGATCGCGATGCAGATGTCCAATAGGGATCGATGACCGACTGCAGTCAATTCTCGATCGCTATTGGACGATTGCATTGCGATCGCTGATAAGCGGAATTTAAACAAGTGTCAATTTGGCTGACGACACCTCTAAGCAATATAGTTGCTCAGCAACCCACGAAAGATTCCCCCCCCNATATAACTCTATATCCCTCTATATCCCTCTATATCCCTCTATATCCCTCTATATCCCTCTTTATCCCTCTATCCCTCCATCCGTCTATCCCCTCTTCTCACCTCTACCCCCCTCTTCCCCTACCCCTTCTTTCCCTACCCCGTCTCCCCTCTGCCCCCTCTCCCTCTACCCTCCCCTCCCCCATCCTTATTCCTATTCCTCTTTCTCTTCCTGCTCTTCCTCTTCCTTCCCCACATTCGTGCAGGTTAGTGATGTCATGTCTAAGCCAGAAATAACAGTTTCTTATTGAAAAATGTCGTCAAATTGCACGTCCTCTCTAAGCCTGATGATGTGTGTTTCAGTACATGGTGGGGAAGCGGATGTCCCTGGACTCGCGGATCAACCCCTCGAGCGGGAGCCGGGGGCGGGCGCCGATGCGGAGCACGATGTCGGAGTGCGCCGACGACCGGGACCAGTGGTTCGTGGGCTCGGAGGCGGAGGAGAAGGCGGCGGCGCGGATCCAGTCCGGCTACCGGGGCTACAAGACGCGGCAGCGGCTCAAGCGCGGCGACGCCGTCCAGCAGCCCACCACGAGCAGCAGCGTCACCCCGGCCTCCGCCTCCCCCGCCACCGCCGCCTCCCCGCGCACCCACTCCGCCGCCAGCGAGGAGCCACCCACCCCCAAGCACACCGGCGAGTACCATGACGTCCTCGCCCTGTCGCCGCCAGTCCTCCACAGCGGTCAGTACCAACTTTTTTTATAATAATTTACTGGAAAAAAATGGACCTTCGCCCCTAGCCCCCAAAATTTTAGCGTACCCCAAAATCGTTGCACGTGCACGAGGAGACCATAGATATGGTGTTCTGTGCAAATTTTGAATGAAATCGAACCGATAGATTCTGAGATATCGCTGTAGATAGATTTGGGGGACGCCTGACGGACGGACACACATTTTTTCAAGTATGGTTATTTTGACTCCTGGGACCTTAAAACGTCCAGAAATGATGAAATTTCAACTCGCCCCCCCCCCTTGCAGGATGACAATACTTCTTCTACTCTAGGGTAGCGAGAAAGTAAAAAGTTAAGGGCTGCAGACATACCATTCGTTTCGGGCTCGGAGGTCGAGAGTTCCGGGTGCTGAAGCCGTAGCTTCAATTGCTCCGGGTGCTGAAGCCGTAGCTTCAATTGCTCCGGGTGCTGAAGCCGTAGCTTCAATTGCTCCGGGTGCTGAAGCCGTAGCTTCAATTGCTCCGGGTGCTGAAGCCGTAGCTTCAATTGCTCCGGGTGCTGAAGCCGTAGCTTCAATTGCTCCGGGTGCTGAAGCCGTAGCTTCAATTGCTCCGGGTGCCGGAGTCGTAGTTTCGACTGCTCCGGGTGCTGCGCCCGGAACTTTCGGCCTCTGAGCCTGGAACGCGGACGGTACGTCTATGCAGCCCGTGAGCACGGATTCGAAGGCCAGAGTTTTTTTGTCGTCTACCACACTCAAAACCATTTTTCGCCTAAAATCGGATTGATCGTGTAAATTCGATCCAGTGAATCCGTATAGGGCTGAACACACGTTCAAAGTGAAGCTTCAAAGTGGTGGCTGTTTAGCCAGGTGTTGTCATCGATCACCGCATCGATGCGCAACACTTGACGGAACAGCCACCACTTTGAAGCTTCTTTTTGAACGTGTGGCCAGGCTTTGACCTCTTGTGAATCGGATCCTCGTTTTTCGGGGTTCAACACAAGCATAGTTCAGCATACGAGGGCTGTCCCAAAAGAAACCAGACTTTTGTCATAGAAGGCGAACCGAGCGTCGTAATGAAGTTTTCTCGGGCTTGTTTGAAAGCTGATAAGGTACTGAAGACGCTTATTTTTACAGAATGCAAAAATTCGTCTTGGTAAGGAAACTACACGCTTTGGAATAAAGGAAAGTCAAACTCGAGTTGCAATTTTTGTCTTTATTTCAAGAAAAATTTAGATACAACTTAAAAAAACCCAGGTTTTAAGTTAAAAACTTCGTTGCCCTCTTATTCAAATGCTTAAAAATAAGGAAATTAACATTTTAAGCAGCTTACCAAGTCATCACCTATCTCCTTCAAAATACTCGCCCGCTTTGTCGATGCATTTTTGCCACGGTTTCTTCAATTGGGAGAAACACTGTTGGAAATCCTCAGGTTTGAATGATCGCAATTCCTTCAAGGTGACCTGACCTGGCTCCGTGTGATTTTTTCTTATTTCCACAACTTAAATCTACCTAGAAAGGTCGACGTTTTCAAACCATTTCGGAAATTCAAGAGAACACCTTGTAGGAATTGCGATCATTTAAACCTGAGGATTTCCAACAGTGTTTCTCCCAATTGAAGAAACCGTGGCAAAAATGCATCGAAACCTGGGTTTTTTTAAGTTGTATCTAAATTTTTCTTGAAATAAAGACAAAAATCGCAACTCGAGTTTGACTTTCCTTTATTCCAAAGCGTGTAGTTTCCTTACCAAGACGAATTTTTGCATTATGTAAAAATAAGCGTCTTCAGTACCTTATCAGCTTTCAAACAAGCCCGAGAAAACTTCATTACAACGCTCGGTTCGCCTTCTATGACAAAAGTCCGGTTTCTTTTGGGACAGCCCTCGTAAGTGCACTGGCTTCTCGAAGAGGCCCGGAAAATAGTCAACAGATGGGCCTATCGCAGTGCCGCGATGGACTCCCCCCCCCCCCCGTCACCCATAATTTTTTTATATTAGCCGTAGGCGTGCCCAGGTCATTTTGCAAAAATTGCCAAAGTTACGTTAGATTGCCGGAGTTCATTTTTGTGTGAATGTGATAGCATGAATATATCTCCCTAGAAATTTTGCGTCATCTGCGTTAAAAAAAATAAGTCCGCTAAGTTCGATGTTTTCCGGATGATAGAACGTGACAGTGTTCCAACTTGTAAAATGTCCACTCGTAAATTATATTTTCGCCGGAAAATATTCAGGATTGCAAAATCTTTACACCTGTGATCCTAGGATGAAAAGCTCGCGGTGCGCACTATTCGGAAGTGGTACACACCGGAGTAGGTTCGACACCAAGTAAATATTACTATTCAACGACTGAAGCGCGCACCGTGGTACTATGGTATACGCGCAATGCATGAAGTATCCTGCAGACTTGTAAGGCGCTACTATGCGTCGAGCCAGCACCGTGCGGTACGCGCAATGCATGAAGTATCCTGCTGTCTTGTAAGGCGTTACTGTGCGTTCTGCGCCAGCCCCGCGCCGCTCCGGTCGCACTGTTTGACGCGATCATTCAAACTTGCAGCGTCAGCGGTTTTCAACTTATGATTTTGAAGTTTTTGTACAGTTTGTTGAAATTATTGTCATTTCAAATGATAAAACATGACATATAAATCAACTAATTTTCTTTTCCTCATTTACGAAATAATTCTAAATAGAAGCATGAGAGTGAAGCGACTTTGACGTGTAGACTCCTTCGTTGCTCAGCAATGTAATGCCGTGATAATTTGGACTACATTTTGCTATTCGTATAACTACAATTTCTTGTGAAAAGACTTGTGTGCTTAAGGAAAGTAACGGTACATACATTGCTCCTAATCTAAGCTAGAAATTGTGCTTTCCAATTGCAAAATGAAGTTTGGTTAGGAAGATTGGTCAAGCTGCATGGAAGCTTACACGCGACCAGACGAAGGAAAAGCAACTCGTGTAGAAATCAAGGAGTGGAACATTGTAGACTCCTCCTAACGACTGACTTACCGCTAACTTTTTCCGACATTTCAGGGTAAAGTTAGAGTTCGGACACTAATTCGCCGCAACCGTCGATTATGGATTGCCCTCTACCGCTTGAACCTTTCATTACCTCTCAACACCGAACGGTAAATGTTAACAATAAATGGTACATCTGGAGATGAACAGATTCGTTAACAAGTATTTGATCTATTTAGCTTCGGACAAATGGATTGTGACGCAAGTCGTGGGCTGCCGTGCTAAGGAAAAACGCCGCATGAACCTCCTGGCATTGCCAAATTTCCCTTGATAAAACACGGAATTCCCGGTAAATTTATGGAGTTTTTTCTTCCAATTTTTTCTGATAATTTTGTTTGCAAGTTCAACCAAAGCTCCTGAAAATTTCAAGGAAGAATACTCATAAACCTTAAACATCAAAATTTTAGTGAAGGAAATTTTGCAATTCCCGAATGTTCATACGGCATTTTTCCTCAGCACGGAAGTAGAGACGAACTTGCCAGGAGAAATTATGCGTGATGATTTCTTGGATCCGTTCCACTGATGAGTCGTGCGTCAAAACTGCTCGGTTCCTCCGACTAGTTGAAAAGTTATGCATAATTTAAGAAGAAAAAAAGTTTCGACCGACCCAAGTCCTCCCCCGCCTTCCCGTCTCGTCAGGAGTTATAAGGCTCTTAATTATGGCAACTTGAGCTGAAATCTGCCCCACGAACTTTAATCAGCGCCCCAACGTTTCAATTAATGGAGCCCTCAGCCGCAGCAGATTTTATTCTTTTTGTTAGTAAGTACAATTTGATGGATTCTAAGAACACATTAACCAGTGAATCCCAAACGTTGCAAATTTCTATACATTTTAATGTCTAAAAGCGCAACTAAATATCATTCGTGTTAATTTTTCCTTCTCTGCACCAAGAAAACTTTGATCCGTCGTACCTGAAAAACACTAAGCGTTTTTCGGGCAGATTCTTTTCGCCCATAAGGGTGAGCTTGTTGTATATTATATATTATACATATGGAAGAGTAACATTTGTTGAAAAAACAACAACAAAAACAACCGTTTTGCTGCCCTTCGGATCAACCGTTAAGTTTTCCTAACATTTCTGTGAACATGCAGTTTGAGTGGCGACTGTGAAATGGTCCCAGGAGACAAATTTCTCCTGTTCCTGTAGCTTAACACTGAAAAAAAAGTGAAAATGCTTTAACATTCTGGATGTAAAACAAGTGTGCGAGAATTTATAAAATGCTGATTACCCGCTACAGCAGTTACTTTAGCCATGCCAAGATGTAAAACTATCTGCTGTGGAGGGTAATTCAGCGTTTTATACATTCTTGCACACTTTTTTTACTTTTCAAATGTTAAATCAACTTCACTTTTTTTCGGTGAAGGTAAAAAAGTATCCAGTTATTGAATTCGCAGGGATCCCAATGTACTCGCACAGCTTTACAAAACAGCAAGTTAGCGCAGAAAATTATTCTTTGTGCTGGAAAAAAAAAAAAAAAATCGCTCTACAATCTGGCGGTAAAATTCTTCCTGCGGAAATTCGAGCGCGAGTGTTTTTAAGCTAATCGGAAAAGCTAGTCGTGGGTCATTCGGCGTAGAGAATGAGCTGTGATTTGTAAAATAAGCGACTGAGATAGTGGAACGGGAAGAGGAGGGGCCTGGGGTTGAAACGACTCCTTTCAGCGCGGGAACATTTTATTCGGGATCTCCCGCTAAGTTCAGCCAGGATTTTAACGGAATTGCGCGCGAATAATTGCGAGAAATGATTCCGCGTAATTTTCAGCTGAATTCAGTTCTCTCCACTGGCGTGTTCTCCAATTTGCTCTCCCGTTCATCACCGGAAAGCGGAATTGCAATTCTGCGAAATTTCATTCGAATTGTTTTGCAGCCGCTCCCCGTACTGCCCGCGAGTGTTATGACCGATATCACATTAAAAAAGGAAATATAATGCGACGAAGAAAACAATTTTAAAGTATTTGGACTGATTTTGCTCTCCTTTTTTTGCAAAAAATAACCAAGAACAATTCCATGTCGATATTAACTAGCGGAATGGAGATTTTGCATGTGTGAGGGATTTGCGATTTGACTATTGATTCTTACGTAAAAGTTCCAGAAAAACATGATGGTGCCACTGGTTTTCTCTGAAATCAACTCCCAAGCTCAAAAAAAGCTCTCAAGTTGAGGCCAAAATGGAGGGGATATCCCACGCTATCCTGAGAGTCCACCTCTACATCAAGACAAACTCTCCATGAAAAGATAGCGAGCAAGTACATTGACAGGGCTGCCACTTTATTTGGGGACTCTAAAATTGAAAACACGGCAAAACTGCTAATGTATTTCCTCCCTACCTTTTTATGGAGAGTTTGTCTTGATGTAGAGGGGGACTAGCAGGATAGCGTGGGATATCCCCTCCATTTTGGCCTCAACTTGAGAGCTTTTTTTGAGCTTGGGAGTTGATTTCAGAGAAAACCAGTGGCACCATCGTGTTTCTCCCGAACTTTTACATATGAATCGATAGTCAAATCGCAAATACCTCAAACATGCAACATCTCCATTACAATCCTGTGAAATTTCATTCGAACTGTTTTGCAACTTCCTTTTCAAATAAAATTGCAACCAAACACAACAAAAGAGGGTTACCATTTTTAAAAGAATAGCAGGGCTGGAGCACGAGTACAGGAAGAAAGTAAATAAAACAAGAGGAGAGTTTTAAAACGCCCGTTTCCATCCCCACCCCTATTTTTCCATCCTATCATTTTTTCGCCCACCCTCATCAAATTTTCACGGGTACCACGTAAGCGTGACAAACCTCCCACGGGAAACCGGGAAATCTAATTTTTTACACCTCGGCCCCGTTCTCCGTGCTTGACGGACCAAATGCGTCCCGGTGTCGTCTTCCCTTGTTTCATTCCTTTAAGGTCAACATAGGAAACAACAGGCCGTGAAGAACCTTTGGAAAACGAGACTCCTTCATTTCAGATCAGCATGAGAGCGTCGCGTCGCGAAAAAATGAAAGGAAATAAACAAGGTTTTAATTTGTATGACATTTCGACGGTGTAAGTCGGCAATCGCATAACTCGGTTTGCGACTTCGCAGATTTCCTGTCATACTTTATTTTTTAAACGGAAAACTACTCATCGGCAATAATTTGAAACTACCGTGATTTTTCTTCTCTGTGCGGAGAAAATTCTGAAAAACTTCAAGGCACGATGTCAATTTGTTCTCCTTTAAAAAAATAACATAGAGGCGGACATTTTCCGACACCGCAAACGAGTTATGTGATTGCCAACTTACACTGTCGATTTGTAGCTACTGGGCAATTTTCAGGCTTCTGTTCGTATGGGATGTTGACATTGATTTGATTCTTTGAATTTTAGGTAAAATGAGGAAAAAAGAAACAAGTATCCGAATCGAAGTATTTTGTGAGTTTGAACGTGTTATTGGAGGCTTTTTTGTATATAAAAAAACAGGTTTCAAATGAGAAACTGCGGAGAAACTTCCGCCCATCAAACACATTTCATACTCCAAATTAGGGTTGAAAATTTAGTCAGAACTTCCAGTTTAAAATTTCAATGGGTAATCCTTCAAGAGCTCTACTCAAAATAATCTATTTCTCGGTTGTTTCAAAAATGTCATTGCGGCTCCTTACTTGCTTTCAGTTTTATAAAAGCACCAATTTGGATTCAGAAATGTTCCAACTCGTAAAATGTCCACTCGTAAACTATATTTTCACCGGAAAATATTCAGGATTGCAAAATCTCTACACCTGTGATCTTACGATGAAAAGAACGCAACGCGCACTATTCGGAAGTGGTGTACACCGGAGTAGGTTCTACACCAAGTAAACATTACTATTCAACGACTGAAGCGCGCACCGCGGTACTGTGGTATACGCGCAATGCATGAAGTATCCTGCAGACGTGTAAGGCGCTACTGTGCGGTACCCGCAATGCATGAAGTATCCTGCGGTCTTGTAAGGCGCTACTGTGCGTTCTGCACCAGCTCCGCGCTTCGCCGGTCGCACTGTTTGACGCGATCATTCAAACTTGCAGCGTCAGCGGTTTTCACTTTATGATTTTGAAGTTTTTGTACAGTTTGTTAGAATTATTGTCATTTCAAAATTAGGGTTGAAAATTTAGTCAGAACTTCCAGTTTTATAATTTCAATGGGTAATCCTTCAAGAACTCTACTCAAAAATCTATTTCTCGGTTGTTTCAAAAATGTCTCTTTGCATGTTAACAGCACTGCGGCCCCTTAATTGGATTCAGTTTTATAAAAGCACCGATTGGATTCGGAAACGTATAATTGTTACGCACTTTCTAAAATAAGCCAAAAATTGGGGTCTTTCTGCTGAACTGCGCCTAACCGTGACACTCCAAAATTTTCGTCCGAAAAAAACAACTAGCCGTTGTGCTCGGAATTTTTTTTTACTGTATTGGCTCTCATCCATTTTCTAACTGGAGGCTTCAGATGGGTTCATCGATTACCCCAAATTGCATCTCTGGCCGGTGATAGGGTTCGTAAAAGCATCAATGAGCCCTTTGAAGCCTCAAGTTTAAACGTGAAGTGGAGCTTTCTGAGAGATCTGAAAAAATCAAGTGACAGGATTCGCAAATTCACCTTTCAAAAATAAAACATAAATTCAATCTTTTTTTCTCCCTTTAATCTATTCTTCTCTCTCCTCTCCTACCTCCTTTATAAATAAAACCTCTCCCTCACCCCCTTTGAAGGTCCGAGGCTCAGCCTTTATGGTTCCCCACCGCGCCGTACCGATGGCGCCTCTCACATGATAGCAACATCGGCCCCGTTTGGTTTATCTAAATGCATATAAGAGAATGGGCAGAACTGGTATAGGAAGAGGGTCTTCCTGTATACCCCCTTCCCCCCTCTTCTGAAATCTATTTGGTCTCATTCCAGCAAATTTGAGAGATTTTGCTAGGCGTTTAACTTATCTTTAATTTCTGAAATTTAGAACGGTGCAAAATTTTACTCGAGTACTCAATTTTTCAAAATTTTTCCTCGGCAGTTTTTCGGGCTTCCCTTCCTCCCTTGGGATCGAGAAAGTCATGTCTATTCCCTATTTAGAGCTAGGGAGCTCCTCAGACCTCACCTCATTTGGATTGCATTTTGCGAAAAGGAACCACTAGCATTGCAATGATGCTAAGATTGTGCAATTCCATCTTTCGCAATAAAATTGCGGAAATCGTGCAAAACTATGACATTTAGATGGTAATTTTTGTCTTAAATTTACAGTATTTAGCGAGTAAAATGCAAACTATTAATGGATAATCGGGTTATTCCTCCAAGACAAAAGAAGTTGCACAATCTTAGCAACATTGCAATGCTAGTGGTTCCTTTTGGCAAAATGCAATCCATTTTAGGACCCCCGGATGAGGTCTTTCTGCTCCTCTCCACCCTTCACCCTCTGCTTAGCAACATTGCAATGCTAGTGGTTCCTTTTGGCAAAATGCAATCCATTTTAGGACCCCCGGATGAGGTCTTTCTGCTCCTCTCCACCCTTCACCCTCTGGCACGTCCATTTGATGGTCCTCATTGATCCTTCCTCAAACGAATAGAAAGCAGGCGGCAAAATACAGGCCGCCCATTTGCGCGGCAAATAGGTAGATCCGGTCCTGCCACGACGAAGACACTTTTTTAACCCTTTTTTTTTCCTTCCCGAACTACGTGGTTTATAATTTTTCATCTCTGATTCCAGTGGTGGAGGAGGACGCGGATGGTGACGAGAGCTCGGAGAGCGACCCTAAGAAGACAGCCAGCGAGGCGGAGCTGGTGGACGCGGCGATCAAGATCCAGTCGGTGTTCCGCGGCTACAAGACGCGCAAGGAGCTCAACGAGGGCGACTCCCGGACGGAGACCGAGTCCCTCGACTCGACGCAGACGGAACCCATGACGGAACCCAAGAAGACGACGGAGCCGGCCCCGGCCGAGGGCGAGGAGGACCCGGACGTCAACGAGGCCAACGCCACCAAGATCCAGGCCCACATCCGCGGGTACCTCACCCGCAAGCAGCTCGAGGAGAAGCGAGAGGCCGCCGTCAAGATCCAGGACAACTTCCGCAAGTACAACGCCAGGAAGAAGGCCAAGAACCAGAATTAAATGCAAGTCTCAGGAGCTTAGCCTTCAGATAATTGGATATATTTGGACTGCATTTTGCAATTTGGAACTATACATTCTAGCTCTTCTGGAAAAGCACTTATGTGCATAGCGAAACCAATGGCACATGCGTTGTTTTTATACCGGGCTAGAATGTATAGTTCCAAATAGCAAAATGTAGTCCGTTTATGCTACAAGGAACTATTTTGCACGCAAACCTTATGCATATAGTTCCTTTTAGCATAAATACGTCCAATTAGCCAGTGAAGTAGATGTATCCTCGGTGATTGGGGAGATATCGCGGATATTCGAGATTCGCGGATATTCGAGATTCGCGGATATTCAAGATTCGCGGATAAGTGAGAACCGCGGATAATCGAGATTCGCGGATAAGTGAGAACCGCGGATAATCGGGAATCGCGGATATTTTAAATTAAAATTTAACGTAATCTTTAATGAAGGAAGTTGCATCTTCACCGATGCAACTACACTGGAATAAAAATTGATGGTTTGGCACCAGCTAAACGGAGTTAATGCTGCACGCCGATCAAATTGGTGTTGCTTGCGAACTTATTGATGCTGTGCACACCAATTACAACCATACCACAAAAATTGGCGGAGCTAGGGTTTCGAGTGCCGGAGTGCCCTACTGGTGTCCGCACTAATTCAGTCTGTATGTCCAACAGTAATTTTGTACGAATTTTTTTAGGTACAGCACCAATTTTGGTCGGTGTGCAGTGCAGTATTAACTGGATTGGCCGGCTCAAAATCAGCCAACTGTTTGTGCATAGCACTAATTTTTTTTTCTTTCTTCCTTTCTTTTTTTCAGTGATGTGCCAATGCAATATTGGATGCAATCGTGCGTTTATTGCAAATTTACTACTGTCTGAAATAATTGCTGGTTGCATTTGGGTGATTGAAGCAATATTCGTGAGGGAAGGTTTTTTTTTTTCGTACTAGAATCTCCAGTCTTATTGTTTTATAATGCGCGTCGCAAGTCTTGTACTGCCGTGCTAGGTAAGAACGCCGCATGAACCTCCAGGCGTTGCCAAATTTCCTTTCATAAAACGCAAATTTTCTGATAAACTTATGAATATTTTCTTCCCAATTTTTCAGATAATTTTGCTCGTAATTCCACCGAAAAGTCCTGAAAATTTCAAGGGAAAATATTCATAAGTTTCCTCGGAAATGAACATCTTATCGAAGGAAATTTGGCAACTCTCGAATGTTCATACGGCGTTCTTCCATAGCACGGCAGTGTATCCCGCGGGATGCACGCATTTGCCCCGGAGAGTAATTGAGTATAATTACCTGATTTACCCTCAGTTGTTTTTATCCCGTAAGTAATAAAAATCGCATTTGATGAAGGCTGTTGAGTTACGTTTACGGTCGATGGATGATGGATCTGGTTTTCTGGATCGTGTTCATTTCAGCAGTGGCGAGGCCTGAATGATCGATTATCGATATTTCCCGGTTCGAGATGTGGTAAAGAATCGATTATTAAGATGTTCGCTGCGAACACCCTAGTAATCGATCCTTTTCCATAGATTTAAATAGTATATCAATCGATGTATCGCAAAACACGACACGCCACTGCATTTCAGGCTAGGGCCAACGAAATGGTTTTGGGCTGAAAATTCCTCTCTTGACGAAAGGATAGCCGTTGACTAGAACTCTGCCATGCTAAGGAAAAACGCCGTATAAACTTTCAGGCGTTGCCAAATTTCCTTCGATAAAACGCGAATTTCTTGATAAACTTATGATTCTTTTCCTCCCGATTTTTCAGATAATCTTGTTTGAAATTTTACCTGAAGATTCTGAAAATTTAAAGGAATAATATTCCTAACTTTCCCTAAAAATAAACATTTAATCGAAGGAAATTTAGCAAGTCTCGAATGTTCGTACGGCGTTCTTCCTTAGCACGACAGAACTATATAATCTCGCTTCCAAGTAAAGCCCAAATCTCACGGTTCAACTTTTTATTTAACCTTTCTTCCTTTTTTTTGGATGACAGTGTTTACTCTTGCTGTGTATTTCAAACAGGAAAAAATTCTATTCAACATAGAGTCGGGAGAGAATTTGAATGAAAAATGGAACCGTGTGAACCGGGCTGAAAGGTGAAGGTGAAGGTGAAGGTGAAGGTAAACCATTATGGAGTAACCCAGTGAGCCCTTTCGTTCTCTGAAATGGACGTATTTCTATCAAACGGAACTATGTGCATTAAGACATGAGCCCTGAGACCCATAAGAATATCTGCATAACAGGGATCACGTCATAATGCACATAGTTCCGTTTGATAGAAATACGTCCAAATCATCAACTGCAAAGCGTAATCTTTTGCTCGACTGGTTTAAAACGCCTTACTTGTTACTTCTCTTTGAAATTGATTACTTTAGTCTTTTAAATTGTTGTTGTAGGTATAGTCTCTTTCCCGCGGGAAAAATCGTCTGTTTAACTAGTAGTCATTAGGAAAGTACGAACCAGGAATTTTTGAAATCTGTCTGGTCATTTTTGTAAAAGAAGACTTGTAAATATACTTTAATTTTCTGTTTTTCGTTAGGTTATTATTCTGTTAGAACTGCTGATATGTATCTCATTGAGAATTTTTTCATCAGTGAGTTTATTCGTCTTTCTGGTCACAAAAGGACTTAACTTCATACGAGCGTGAGTCCTAGAGAACATCGAGGTGTACGGACATCAGGGCTCATGTCAAAATTGGATTACGCCTTTTGTCAGCAGAAAGACGTGTTGTCTAAAGTTCAATCATTTCGAGTCACTTTCGACTCAAGTCAAGAGGATCAATTTCCGTACCTTTGTGATGAATAGATCACACTAAAGTTGATAGAATTATATTTTTACAAGACTAACGCTTCAATTTTTCTACTGCAAACTGCGAATCTTTAAGCGATCACTGTGTTTTCTTTTGGGCAGATTCTTTTGCAGATTCGAAGTATTTTACACATTGGCGGACACAGTAAATCGGCAACATTGTTTTTCTCCATTTAAACCTATGGAAATGTATCGATTCTTGGAGGGGCCAGGTGCTCCGACAAGAATCGATTATTAAACATAGGTTTGAATGGAGGGAGTCCGATGTTGCCAAACTGCTGGATCCGCCTCTGATTTTACACTTATTCACTTCGTGCAGATGTACCTAATTACCCAGGTATAAGACACGACAACCACTTCTTTTTTAATCTCCTTTTCGTCTCCCCTCTTTGAAACGAGTCCTAGTAAATTGAGATATAGTTTAAACTCCACATTCAACTTTTAATTGTTTTCAATCATTTATCGCATCACTGCCTCTCCATCTATCTGAGTGTATTTTTTTAAACGCTCTGTAACACCAAGTTAGTATGCCGAATATGAGGTTAACTGTTATGACCGATGGATTATCCATGATTCGTAGATTTTCCCCCAAATTTATAGTCGTAAAACGCTTGTCTACAAACAGCCGACCTATAAGTGTGTTGTTCAAGTTTAAAACGAATGTGCTAGTATTATTCAATCTGATTTCATTGATTTTTGTACTTTTACTTCCATAATACATCAGCGATGTAGTGCCGTGAAGATAAAACACATCTTCCGGCTCCACGCTCAGCACATCTATCTGAGTCAGAGGACATGAATCATTTAGTATAAATGGAAGGGAAAGGTCTACAATGTATCTACTTGTTGCAGGCGCATCATTGCACGCCAAAGTAAATGTAGAGTGTTTCTTTTGTAAGAGCCTTGCGTAGGGTTTGTCCGAAATTATGGTTATGAAATCAAAGTTTTGTGGGGCTCTAGGGATATCAGGAAAACCACGCATCGCTGCCTCATAATCTGACTGAAAATTTCCTTGTGTAAAGAAATTCTGCAATCGAGAAAAAAAACCTTTATCTGCGTGGGTTCTACCAAATTCCCCATTTTCCATGAACTTTAACCCTGCCTCATCAATATAAATGTTTAAATTTCCCTCAGAAGGATCAAAATGTGTAAATACCGTTCTAGTTGAGTTTGATAAAGTTTTTAGTATTGTGTCATCGCAGCGCCTTCTTTTAGTATGCAGACCTCTATATAAAGCCACATAATTCCCTGTCATTTTAACGGGACTGGCGTATACGCAATCATCATCTTCATCGCTAGGGTACTCTGAACTCCAAACCTTTTGATACCCGTCCAGAAACGTTGATGTTAAAGTAACATACTCACTCGGACAAATTGAACACCATGACGTTGTGACGTTTTCCGCTGGGAATTCCGTGGTTTCAGGGCAAGTATATGAGTTTGAAACCCCATAAGATATCCGTACATTTGTTTCTGCTACTGTTGGTAAATTACTCTTATAATGAATAAACGGCACTTTTATTATGACGAAATCAAAATATCCTTTTGAAAAATGGGTCTGTAGATTTTCAATAAATTTAAAATTCATTGCGACTAATTGCCTTAATACGTCAGTTTGCGCTAGTTGATCTTTCCTGAAGCCGAGAGTAATGAGAAATGCCTCATAATTTGACACACTTAACCTCATTTGTCTCTTTACGTGTTGGATCTCCGTATACATCTGCTCTAAAAACACAGGTAACCAGAAATATGCCAAGATGGGAAAAAACTGCTCCGCTACAATTAGTGACGCAGTAATATACTGTAATATTAACTGTTTTTTTAAAAAGACATATTGATCCGTGCAAGATGGTTTCTCGGCCAATTCTTTATGCAATTCAAGTATGGAAGTGAAGGTGAGGGTTTTGAAGACTGGACTGAACGATAACATTTTCAATTTGCCATTTAAGGGAGAATTCCTTGCTATAAATCTATGGAATAACTCATCCGAGATAAGCATCGTTGACAAATTTATTAATGGGTCGGGGTTACCATTTACAGCTTTTACTACGTCGGGCAGAATAAAATAATATTGACCTGCAAATCCCCCTACTCTGGAAAATGACATTATTTTATTTTTATCTTTCGCAAAACTTGACAACACCTCCATTGATACACGAGAAGTATCTTCTACACTTAATTTCTCTGTGCGTAAAAGAAACCTATTTAAATCGTCAAAATATTGGTTTGAAATGCTGTTCCAATTTTTACTGGAAGCTTTGTCAACTAGAGGCTGGAACTTTTTGTATACTTTTAAAAAATTGGATATTTGCCGTTCATTTAGGGACATCAGAACTGATTGAAGACGGTCTAGACGAACTGTCAGATTAGGGAGGTTGAAAAAATTTTGTCCTAAATGTTTACTTTTGGGTGGCCTTCCATCAATCTCAAACAAAACTTTTACGGCTTCTTTCGGTATCCCTTCAATTTCTTTAATTTCCGCATTTATCGAATGCGGAATAACGTCTTCCCGGCTGAAGTCCCACTGTTTAGCACTCACAATAACGTCGTATACATTGTCAGGTAATGCTGTGTGCAATGTGTAGATTTTGTAATGACAGCTGTCACGCCTAAGGCTTTGAATGCAGCTGTGGCATATGCCTGAATCGCATCACTCTGAACGTTCAGCCTTGTCCGGAAAAATCTTTCGTAATCTAAATCATGACTATATAGTTCCCAATAATTTTCATGCCTAACAACTAATATTGAGAATTCATTTTCCACCAGTATGCAAGTTGGGAGGTCTTTTAAAGTTCCTTTATCATGTATGCTGAAAATTGAATTTTTCGAGTTCCTCGCAAAAAAATCGATAGCGTCTTGGAAATGAGAAAAAATAATGTCATTTTCTTTCTCACTGAGATTAACTGGACTGTTTTTAAGTATTGATGCAATACGGCTATCATATTCCAGCACACTGTCCGAGTTATATCTCACATCTATTCTATTATATGCAAAAGCAAACATATGCAACATGTTTGATAATAGTTTGGTTTCCATTCTAGCTTCAGCCGTGAAAGTTCCTTTATCTGGAAAGGGATTCAACTTGTCATTTTGAGCACAAAATGCACGTTTAAATCTTCCAATATTACGTCTTCTTCTACAGCCTTGGTCAATATTTTCAATTTTGATCCTCTTCCTGTGTATATCTTCAATATTTTGTTTGTCTTTTCCGGAAACTGTTCGGCGTTTCAAATTGTTTTCTTTTTCTTCCCTTTTTTTTTGGTCAATGCCTTTGAGAGTTTCGAAAAAGTTGTGAAAGTCGCGTAAAGATCTATCTTTGTTGTCATAATATTTAACTATGTGCACGATTAACCTTTGTCTCGCACCAGCATCTTGAATTTCTTCATTATAAAGACGACTAAATGGTGCACCCTCAAAGGTAAGAGCCAACCTATTTCCAAACACTGTTCCGATATGTGCATGTATATCCCCCGCAAATCCTGTCAAAAATGTTTTGATGACAGTTATCTTCAATTTTTCCCGTTTTTCTTCTTCGAAAAAATTTGCTTCAGCATCTGCTTCGAAATGAAGTAAAACTGCATCTTCTATTGAATTCGAATCTCCTTTAATTATGAGGTAAAAAGAATTTTCGACAATTTCTCCTTTACAGAAATAACCATTTATTTTTATTAACGCCTTCTTAGCTTCATCATTGGATGCAACGGAAAAAACCTCTTGTACTGAATAAAAGGACTCAGTCTGGTTTTGGTCTGTTCTTGGAAGTGAGCCCGAAAGAGACCCATAAACGTAGATTGGAGTTTGCTTTATATGTTGTAAAACTCTTAATACTTCCTCAGTCATATGTTTGTTAAAGCATTCGATAAACGACTTTTTAAATGTTTCAACTTTACTACGGTTGTATCCTGTATCTTGTTTAATGCGAGATATACAGACAATTGTAAATCGTAATGCCAAACTTTTGCCTTAACGAGCATTTCGAGTAATCTGTGCCCTGATTGGGCAGATAATGCTATTTGCTGTGGCGTTGCGGAGTTTCCAAAATCAATACATTTCTTTGGTCTCAACGTATCTAATAGAATATCGGCTGGTAAACTATGCATCGATACAGGTTCTACTCTATTCGCTAAAAATTGATTGTATTGTGTTTTGAAACGGTTAATATTTTGAGTTTCCTCTCCGTATTCTTCTTTTCTTTTTCTTTCGAACTGAACATTTCCTTCCTGTATGCTAAACTTGTACCCGAGCAAAGAGACTAATTTCCCTACCACTTCTTTGGGATCCGAATGGGGAACCCTACTGAGATCATAAATATTATTCAAATATTCTGTTTCTACATAAAACCTTGCAGCCTTGTTCATTTCCGCCACTTGCAGCTTCAATCTATGAACTATTGAGTCGATTGTATCTTTGTACTTGCTAATCGCATCATTTAAAACGATAGTATTACATAGGCTGTCCCAAAACAACTGAGAGTAAGTCTGTATTTCAGAAACAATAATAGATATTGAAACGCGGTTTGTGGGAGGTTGTAGCTCATATCCTTAGCTATCCAACGAGCCCAAGATTTGCTATTTTGGTCAAAATTTTGCTGAGTTACAGCAATTTTTTGGAGCCGTGTAAAATAGAACCCTACAGGATTTTTGAGTATTTTTTTCCTTGTCTGAACTGTTGTTCCGAGATCGCAACTTTGCGGATCACGTTGGCACTGGTCTAGATGCAAGTTCTAACATGTTTGCATGTG